TTAAAAAAAAATTTTTTTTTTAAATGAAAAAAAACTTAACCCCAAAAAGGCTTTCTGGAAATTTGGGTTTTGGGAGAGAAAGTTTTAATTAGAAAATTGGGGGGGGGAGTTTTTTAATAATATTTTTTTAAAAAAAAAATTATAAAAATAAAAAAATACTAAAATTTTAACAATCATAATCTTTTTTTTTTTTTTTTTTTTTTTTTTTTTCTATTTTTATTTTTATTTAATTATCTATATTTATAACTTTTTCATTAATAACAATTTTATATTAATTAATAAAATTATAAATACTAAAATTAACCCTATTGTTTTATTGTTGTTATTTTTAAAACTTTATTTTTTTATTTTTTTTCATGTCAACGATTCACATTATCTAAATAACAAATCGCATTATTTTAATTTTCACATAATCAATACTATTAATAATTTTAAAAAAAAATATTTTAAAAAATAAAATTTAAAAAAATTTGAAAAAAAAAATCTTTTTTTTTTTTTTTTTAGTTTAAAATTATTTTATTTTTACCATTATTTTTTTTAATTGTTTATATTAAAATAAAAATAAAATATTGTACAATAGCAAAGAAACAACCTATAAATATCATTCATTAAACTTCACAAAGTTTAAATTAAATAAATATTGTGTAAACCAAAAAGTCATTATAGTTTAATAAATAAAAATAATAATAGTAGTAATTTAAAATAAAATAAAATAAATTATTATAAAAAAACAGAAAAATAGGGAAATAAAAAAAAGAACAGAGAAAAGAAAAAAGAAAAAAGAAAAAAAGAAAATAATATAAAATAAAATAAAACAAAAAGGTATATTGATATAAATCTTTACACATATTTAGTTATTCAGGAATTAGTAAAATAGTGTTTTTAAAATGTCAACAACAATAATCAAGCAAAAGAATAATAAAAAACTAAAAAAAAACAAATAAACAAACACATCACACTTGGATTGTAACTGTTATTACCATCACACAACATCAGCATTATTATAAACAAATGCTTTATATTATCATTTTTTTGTTTAAAACAACTCTTTCCACTTTACATTTAGATCCTAATAAAGAACATACACAAAAAGAAATATTATTTTAGCTATTTTCGTTAAAAATCATTTTAGACCTTTTTTTAAAAAAAGATAAAAACGGTGGACTACTAAAATTTTATATATCTATTAATCCTCACATAAATAAATCCCCCACATACACACCATCCACACATAAAATCAATCTTCACTCACATAAAAGAAAATAAATTATATTATTATTACTATATACATACTGGATATATACTTTTTTTGTTTTTTGTTTTTGTTTTTTTTTATTTTTTATATTATTTTAATCAGTAGATAAAGTGTGTGTGTTTTAAAGTGTGTTATATGTGGTTTCGAATATTAAACAAACAAATAAATTAAATAGTTTTTAAATTTAATATAATTGTTTCATGAACTTTTTTTTATACTTATTTTTGATTAACAAACAAATTTATATATCATGTTTTTTAAAATAATACACATTCACACACATATACATATTTAACTACACAAAAATATTACATACACCAACACACCTCTCAAAATTTTTATTTTTAGAATATTAAAATAATTATTTGTTTTTATTTAATTGTCAGAGGAAAGCATTATAATATTTATTAATAGTGGGTGTTGTGTGTATTATTTATTTTTAAAATAAATCAAATTAAAAATAAATATCACTATGCCCATGCATATTATATAAATATACCTAAATTTATACATATATATTACCCTAAATTAAATCATTTAAATTTAATTTAACTACTTCCTCATTAAATGTTTAAATATATCTTTTTTTTTTTTTTCTCTTTTTTTTTTTTTTTTTAATAAAATTAAAATTAAATTATTTTAATAATAAAAATAATAGTAACAAAACATAATAGTTTTGATATTTAATATTTGTTCTTTTGTTTGATTCATTGATTTGAATAATAATAAAATTATATAGTAATAGCATACATTATAAAAAATATAAATAATAGTTAATAATTATATTTTATTAAAATAATAAAAGCAATTATTAGATATTATTACATAATAAATCAATTATAAAAAATAAAAAATAAAAAATAAAAAATAAAAAATATCAATAAAAATCAATCATATACTATATCAATCAATACACACACACACACATATTACTATTACATACACATATATAAACATATGTAGATAAATAAATATAAAATATAAAAATAGGTCAACCAATAATTAGTTTTTATTATTATCAATCAATACCAAAGATTTTTTTTTTTTTATTTTTTATTTGTTTTTTATTATTTTTTTTTTAAAAAAAAAAAAAACACAACACATAATTTTTAATTATTTTTTTATTCTTATTTGTTTATTACTGTTGTAAATAATAATAATTTTAAACACTATTTTATAAACATTCTTTACTTTTTTTTATAAAACTTATTTTTAATTATTAAACTTTAATTTGTTTAATAATTTTTCCCCAACTTTTTTTTTTTTCTTTCTTAATTATTTTTTCTTTTGTTGTGATCACCAAAATCTTGTGTGATTAAATTTTATAAAAAAATTCTTCCAAAGATTTTTTTTATAGAATTTCATATATTAATATTAAAAATTGCATACCTTATTAAAACGATAATTAGATATATAGTAGCGGAAATGAGAAGGGTTAAAAGTTTTTGGAGAAAAGATACAAAAGCAAATTTAAAATTCAATTCGAAGCCTAGCAATGTTTCAACCTCAAGTAATTTTAGCACCCTTAATCCAAATAATCCAAAAGTTCCAAATATTATAAAGCAAACTATAGCATATATAGAAGAGTATGCATTACACGAAAAGGGTTTATTCAGAATATTTGACAATCAAGCAAATGTAAATTCTTTAAAAATAGCTTTTGAAAAATGTAATTATAGATACAGTTTTTAGTTATAAACTATAGGATTGACAGTAAACAGATATTAATAATCAACTTATTTTATACATATTTAGACGAAAGTATTGATTTATCAAAAATATCAAGTCCACATGTTGTAACATCAGTATTAAAATTATATCTTAGAGAATTACCAGAGCCATTATGTACTTTTAATTCATACGAAGCTTTAATTGCCTCATACATCATTTCAGATCCAGAGATGAGATTATCAGTTATTAAATCAATTATTCAAAAAATAGTGCCACATCACTATGTTGTATTAGATTATTTAATGGCATTTTTATATCGTATCTCAAATAATCAAAATGGAGAGAATGGCGAAAATGAGAATAGCAATAACAATAATAATAGTGACGATCAGCAAGTGCCACACCAACAAAAACTAATAGATTTAAAACATAATTTAGACAGTTCAAATTTAGCAATGATATTCGCACCAACTTTATTAAAGTCAAAATCAGAAACACCTGAAAATTTAATTGCAGATTCACCACGTTCAAGTAAAATCATTAAAATTCTCATCGATAACTATTCAAAAATTTTCGAAAAAGATCCATTTACAGGTGATTCGATACACGTTAATCCATTGAAACCGTTCTTTGAAGAAGACTATTTATTATCATCAAAATATGAAACTATAAATTTAGATAGGGAAATTGCAGGGATCTTTGAAGAAGAAGATGAACTTTCAAAATCGATGGGTGGCTTTACATGCGATAGCTCTGGCATATTATCAAAAACAAGCTGTGGTGAAAATGGAACAAGTGATCTTAATAGTAGTAGTGTGGTATCACCAAGTGCAATTAGTGGTAAATCTCGTCCTTCATTATTTCAAGTATTTGGTCAAAACCAACCATCAATTGCTGCTGCTGGTATAGTATCATACAATGGTTCTAGATTATCTGTAATTTCAAATGATAGCTCTGCCTCATCCCCAGATATATCCCATGATATTGATGACGAAGAAGAAGAAGAATTAAAGAAACCCAATTATAATGAACTATTACAAAACAACGAATCTAATAATAACAGTAATAGTAATAACAACAATAATAATGTTAACAATAACAACAATGACTCCACAACTACAACCACAACTTCAACATCCATTACAAATAATAAAGAAATTGAATTCAAGATTCAAGTTATTAAGGAATTAATCGATAAGACAATAGTCGAATTAGAAAACGAATTTATTCAATTGGGCAAGGAGTTACAAGATAATCTATCATTCCAAGAAATTGTATTGGTTGCGTCATCTCTTAAAAGTATTATGAATATTTTAGTCGATGGTCCAGATGTTGACACCCAAGTAGTTTCATCGTTTGAATTAGACAACACTATGGTTAGCACTGACGATCAACAAATTAAGAGATTAGAAGTATTAAAGAATGCAATGTTACAAAAAATCAATAACTCGATCCCATCACTATTATTAGAACTTAAAGAAGAAGCCTCAAGCTTAATATCTCAAGAGGACATTGAAAAGGATATTTGCTTAGTAGATTTAATCACCATTATGAGAACATTAAAAGCTGTCAATGACGTATTAGATTTCTTTTTCAGTAAATGGTGCACTATTGGTACAATAAGCACCTCACCACAAAACCAATCACCAGTATTAAATCAAAAACATCCACAACAATCACAACAACAACCACAGCAACAATCACAACAATTATCATCATCACCAAAGCAACAACATCAATTATCCTCCTCTCCATCTTCACAACCATCAACATTATCATCATCCCAACAACAATTATTATTAAAACAGCAACAACAAAAAGAAAAAGAACAAAAAGAAAAAGAATTACAACAAAAAGAAAAAGATAAGGTTATTATTGATAATTTAGATGAAAGAGAGTTTATTATTATTATCCAACCAAAAGAAGAGGATATTATACAAAATGTATTAGATATTGATATGGTACTATTTGAAGCAGAAGAAACATTAATGGGAATTACTTCAAAGAGCGAGTTAATTTATATTGCCAAAGTTGTACAAAATATTCAAAAGATAGTAAGATTACCAATTGGTATGCCAGGTAGCTTTGATGAAATTCCACCACCAAAAATCAATACCCTTAAAATCACACCAAAACATAAGCTTGCACCATTAGTCAGTGTAGTATATGTATTAATTAAAGAAATCAGAGATCAAATCATCCAATTTAGAGAAGATTTCGAAAAGTTAAAAAATAAAAATAGTAGCCAAACCTATAGCAGTAAAGATCTTGTATATTATCAACAAAGATTATTGGATTTATGGAGATTACTCTCGAAATTACCAGCATTCAATACATACAAAACCAGCCATCGTAACAGACAAGAAATATCACAGAAGAACTGTCAATATATGCGTGAAACTATCGAATCCACACTCAAAAAACTTGAACCTATTTTTAACCAATTAAAGGATGACATTAATTCAAAGAATGAAATCAGTTTAGATAGCCTAATGTTAATCTCAAGATCAGTCACTAAAATTAGAAAACTCTTTGAAGAATCCCAATTGTATCAACGTACTAGTATCAAGTTTGCTCCATTCACATTATCAAAATCAAATCAATCCATTTCATTATCGGCCGAAACTCTTTCAATTAGTCAACAACCTTTATCTCCCACCACAATCAATGATAAAATTTCAACTTTAAAGAATTTAACAAGTTCAATTATCGATCAAATTCTTTTAAGATTTAATCAAATCGAAGACCATTTCAATAATATAAATCAAGAGAATTATTTATTCGAAATTATAAATATTTTAAAACTTGTTATAACAAACTTTAAAGATATTAAAAATCTAAATTTAAAATAAAAATAAAAAATAAAAAAAAATAAAACTATTTTTTTTTATTTATTTTTAGATTTATAAAAATATTATTTCTTTTTTTAATTAAAAACATTATTTCTTTTTTTAATTTATTTTTAATATTTAAATAGGAATATAAGTCCATTATTTATTTTATATTAAACAAATTATAAATTTTTAATAAATTTTTTTTTTTTTTTTTTTTTTTTTTTTTTTTTTTTTTGGGGTTTGGAATTTTTAATTAATTTTTTTAAATTTTTTGGGTGATACATTATAATTTTATATTCGTTTTTTGCACGCATAAAAAATATATATATTTTATAATAATATAAAATGAATAAAAAAAAAACAAGAAAGGAGTTCGAAGATGAAATTGATATGGAGGATGAAATTGATATGGAAGATGAAATTGATATAGAAGAAGAAATTAAGAGTTTAAAAAAAAAATTGGTTCAGTTTAAAAAAATCAAATTTGAGGAATGGACAGTTGTAGAATTAAAAAGATATGCTCGAAATATTGGTGTACCAACCAATGGGAACAAACTCGAAATTAAAAACAGAATAGAAGAATTTTTAGAGAATGAAATAAAGCTTTTAAATCAAGAAAAAGAAAAGCAAGAGGTAAATCCATTTAACAACTACCGACCTGAATTGATGATAAAAGAGAATTTACATCCGGTAGAGCCACTATTTTGGGAAGTTTTTAGAAACAAACCTTTATTCCGTACGGTATTTTCAAATTTTCAACAGAAAAGAAGATCAGATTATGAGTGTTTATTTTCAATTAGTGAAATTTTAAACAGATTCACCAATGGTATCGAAATCATCAGAGATAAAATCAAAGCAGGGCGTTATTTAAATTTCAATGATAGGGATGATGTTATAAAGCTATTAAATTGCACATATCAAGACAATGAAGACAACAGAACAATGTATATGCAAATATTTGATAAATATTCAAACAAATCAGTTCACAGTTTAAATCTTTTAAAATTTATAATAAACAGTTCAAATTTATTAGCATATAAAATCTTCAATCCAACCAAGCATCAAATAGAACAAATAATAAATGATAACAACACTTTACAATGCTTTGAAATTTCAAACTATTTCCAGTTTAAACTTTTAAAATATGTTATAAATAATAATAATCTACAATCCATCAGTTTTAAAATCAATTTAAATCAATTCAAAATTTTTAAAGATTTAAAATTAAAACAACTTTTAAAAATGCTCACATTTATATTAGAACCAAATAGTAGTTTAATAGTTGAATCTTCACCGGGTCCAAAAAGTCTTGAAGAAATAAAACAAATGTTTCAAATAGATAAAATCGAATTTCAAACATTTAATGAAAATCATTTAAATTTAAAATTGAAAAAATTATTAAAAATATTATCAACATCAGAGTCAACATCATTAGACACAACTAATAAAAAAGTTAAAAAACAGTTGTTAAAACTAATAGATTATTTTTATTTTCTATCAATTAATGAAAATAAAAAATACATTTATTATTTATTTTTGCATGACGAAGATCAATTTTCAAAACAATTAAGTTCAAATTCAGAAAAATGGTTATCAAGAATGAACTCAAGTAAAAATATAAGAAAAATTTGCAAGTATATTGAACGATACAAACCATCAATATATGTATACCTCAGTAAAACATTTCCAGATTTAATATGGTCCATTATTATTATAATCAGAGTTGCTGATTTAAAAACCGTCAAAGGTTTAATAGATTTAATTTTAAAAGATAAAAACCCAAATTTAAATATGAGAGGCCACATATTAGCATCAATTGAATCGACCGAAATATTAGATTATTTATTTGAAGCCTACCAGGATGAATTTTTCGTACAAAACAACAATAATTGGCAATACATCTCAAATCTCCAAGTAATCGAACATTACGAGAAACTAATGACAAGTCTTCAAAGAACATTTGGTTTTTTAAAAATTCGAAGTCAAACTCGTTTAGCTAAACACAGTAATGACTCTTTCAGGTTAGTATTACTCGGAAGAGCATTATCAAATCCATCACTTTATTTCAGAGCCAACGGACTATGCCATTATCATTTACATTTCAGACATACCAAACGTTTAATCGGTGACAAAGTATACAACCAACTGGATGCTATTATATCATTATTCGAAACTGGTAAACTCGATATTGTAGATGGAGAGTTTATATTGGGGAAAGACACAAACAACACTTTGATGACCCAGTCCTTTTTAAAATGGGCAATGAAACACTCAAAAACTATAAAATTCCCAAACCAAATTCAAAAAAATGGTTTATATACAAAAATAGATTTAAAATTTTTAATCAATGGCAAGATACGTGTAGTTCAATTTGCACCAATTGATTATTTTATTGCATTATATAAATGTAATTTATATGAAGAAATTGCCAGAGCTAAAGAATGGAATGTTTTTTTATTACTAGTTCCAATCCAACAAACTTTTTGTCCACATGTATCAACCGAATTTATGAGCTGGTTTATTAATAAATTCTTTGTTAAGAATCAGAATTTTCCATTAAAAATGGGCTTTATAAGATTTTTTGTATCAACTGGAAACATAAATGTAATAAGGCTTATCCATTTAAAATTCAATGTATTGTTTTCAAGAAGCTATGAATTGGACGAAAACAGTTATTTAGAACTAAAAGCATTAAAAGAATTAGTATTTCTTGCTTTAAAAAAAGACAATTTCGAAATTTTTCAAATTTTAGTGCAATACGCCAATATAACAAAATTAGAATGTGAAAAGGAATTAAAAAAAACGAAATTTTCAATAATTAAAGAAATTCTTTCAAAGACTGATTAATAAATTATCTTAATTTTTTAAATTTTATTTTATTATTCTCTTTTATCTCAAATTATTGCTTTTTATTCTTATTTCTTATAGCGATTTTGGTCTTTACAAAAGAAGGAATATAAGTATCTTTGATCCAAAACAAATTATTTAAGATCAAGAAAATATTTTACATAAATAGAATAAAATTAAAATCATAAAACATAAACCCTTTTTACTTTTTTAATAAAATAAACAAATAAATGTTAATTAAAATATGCTAAATCTTTATTTAATAAATATATTTTATTTATAAAATTTCTATATTTTTTTTTAAAGAGATTATATTGAAAAATATGAAACATTATGGTAACATTTTAGTAATAAAAATAGAATATTCCTGTTTTGGGCACGTATTTTTTCTTTTTAATTTTAATTTTATTGGAAATTTTTTTTATTTTTTTTTATATTTTTTTATTTTTTTTTAATTTTGTTTGCATACACCAAAAATATTTATTTTATAATATAAAATGAATAATAAAAGAACAAGAAAGGAATTCGAAGATGAAATTGATAGTGTTGATGAAATTAGTAGATTAAATAAAAAATTAGATCAATTTAAAGAAATCAAATTTGAGGAATGGACATCAGAGATAAAATCAAAGCAGGGCGTTATTTAAATTTCAATGATAGAGATGATGTTATAAAGCTACTAAATTGCACATATCAAGACAATGAAGACAACAGAACAATGTATATGCAAATATTTGATAAATATTCAAATAAATCAGTTCACAATTTAAATCTTTTAAAATTTATAATAAACAGTTCAAATTTATTAGCATATAAAATCTTCAACCCAACCAAGCATCAAATAGAACAAATAATAAATGATAACAACACTTTACAATACTTTGAAATTTCAAATTATTTTCAGTTTAAACTTTTAAAATATGTTATAAATAATAATAATCTACAATCCATCAGTTTTACAATCAATTTAAATCAATTCAAAATTTTTAAAGATATAAAATTAAAACAACTTTTAAAAATGCTCACATTTATATTAGAACCAAATAGTAGTTTAATAGTTGAATCTTCACCGGGTCCAGAAATTCTTAAAGAAAAAAAACAAATGTTTCAAATAGATAAAATCGAATTTCAAACATTTTATAAAATCATTTAAATTTAAATTTAAAAAAACTATTAAAAATATTATCAACATCAGATTCAAAATCATTATACACAACTAATAAAAAATTTAAAAAACAGTTGTTAAAATTAATAGATTATTTTTATTTTCTATCAATTAATGAAAATAAAAAATACATTTATTATTTATTTTTGCATGACGAAGATCAATTTTCAAAACAATTAAGTTCAAATTCAGAAAAATGGTTATCAAGAATGAACTCAAGTAAAAATATAAGAAAAATTTGCAAGTATATTGAACGATACAAACCATCAATATATGTATACCTCAGTAAAACATTTCCAGATTTAATATGGTCCATTATTATTATAATCAGAGTTGCTGATTTGATAACCGTCAAAGGTTTAATAGATTTAATTTTAAAAGATAAAAACCCAGATTTAAATCTGAGAGGCCACATATTAGCATCAATTGAATCGACCGAAATATTAGATTATTTATTTGAAGCCTACCAGGATGAATTTTTCGAACAAAAAAACAATAATTGGCAATACATCTCAAATCTCCAAGTAATCGAACATTACGAGAAACTAATGACAAGTCTTCAAAGAACATTTGGCTTTTTATATATTCATAATCAAACTCGTTTAGCTAAACACAGTAATGACTCTTTCAGGTTAGAGTTACTCAGAAGAGCATTATTAAATCCATCACTTTATATCAGCCCCTACACACAAGACCACTTTCCTTTATATTTCGGAAATACCAAATTCAAAAAGATGGTTCCTATAGAAAAATAGATTTAGAATTTCAAATCTATGGCATGACATGTGCAATTCAATTTTCAGCAATCGAATATTTTATAACATTATATAAATGTAATTTATATGATGAAATTTTCAAAAGCTGAGGGATGGAATGTTTTTTTATTACTAAAATCAATCGAACAAAATTTTTGTCCACATGTATCAACCGAATTTATGGACTTGTTTATTAATGAATTCTTTGTTGGGGCTCAGAATTTTCAATTAACAATGTACTTTTTAAGATTTTTAATACCAACTGGAAACATAAATGTAGTAAAACTTATCCATTTAAAATTCAATGTATTGTTTTCAAGAAGGTACTCTCAAAAGAATAAAACAGGTGTTTTAGAACTAAAAGAATTAAAAGAATTATTATCATTTGCTTTAAGAAAAGACTATGTCGAAATTTTTCAAATTTTAGTGCAATACGCCAATTTAACAAAATTAGAATGTGAAAAGGAATTAAAAGAAACGAAATTTTCAATAATAAAAGAAACCATTCTTTTAAAGAATGATTAATAAATTATCTTAATTTTTTAAAATTTATTTTATTATTCTCTTTAAACTCAAACTATTGCTTTTTATTCTTAATTATTTAGTGATTTTTGGTCTTTGCTGTAGAAGGAATATAAGTTTCTTTAATAAATATGATCCAAAAAAAATTATTTATGAACAAGATCTTAGCATCAAGGAATGATATGTAACTCGAGCATAAATAAGGAAAAATATTATACTATTCAATAACTATCAAATTATCATCCCACATGCCAAACTATTGGTAGTATAGAATACCTATTAGTGGTGGATTCATGAAAGAAATTTTTTATTTTTTTTTCTTTATTATTTTATCAACATACAAATAATCATTATCATTTATTTAACCAATACAATAATAAAACCAAATAATATCAATAGTGTTTTATATTAATTAAACAATTTAAAACAATCAACAAATAATAACTTACAAATCACCATTATTTTATAACCATAATTTAATATAAAATGAATTATTTAATAAAAATTATAGATTTCTGCTCTGTGTGAATGTTGGTGTGATGGTTGAAATGTATTTATTCTGATGGATTATGGATAAAAGAAAAACGTGGCTCTGGTTCTTTGTTTTGGTTATTTTGAAGATAGTGGTGCATTTTTTTGTTACATATTTGATAGAAAAAACCCCAGTAGACTAGAGACTTTAAACTGAAAAAGTATTGATATTGGAAAATAATGATTTATAAAAATAAAAATACAGTTTATTTAAAGTTTTTAGCAATCTTAATAATCTTTCATGAATTTAAAATTTATAGCTCTTTTTTTTTCCATTGATCCAAATATCAGCCAAACCTCCTTCAGATAGTGGAAAACTTTCATTGGCTTTATTGGCTTCAAGATTGATATTTGCAAAAGAATTAGCAGAGAAAATTGTATTTGTTTTAATATTGTCCGATAATCCTAGAATCTGGCAACAAGATGGAGTATGTTGATTAAATAAAGTAATACTATCTTTTATTATCATAATAAATATGTTAGTATTTAAAGAGAAAACAAAACTTAAATAATATATTTGATATTTACCAATAATTGTCATTGTGAATATTTTAATATAATGGAAAATATAATAATTAAAAAAAAAAAAAAAAAGTTATTTTTATAATAACTTATTTATTAAAATTTAATGATTATAATATATAACTATGTTTAAAAATATAAATGATTTAATTCAAATATTTTAAATTAGTAACAAAAATACTTTAATAAGAAATTTATTTTTTTTTTTTATTTTTTTTTTTTAGTCGATGTAAATTTTTTTTTTTTTTTTTTTTTTTTTAACAGTAAAAGGAAAAGCAACAGATTAAGTTTTAATTTTGATAAAATATAAAGAATAAAGTGAAGTTGATTCGTTTTAGATTCTTCCTGGTTTCTTAAAATGTTGATTTTTTCATTTTTGTTAAAAAAATTCTTTTTCTTTTTTTGGTTGTGGTTGTTATTGTTGTGGTTGTGGTGTTTGTTTTGGTTGTGGTTGCTATTATTTTTGGTGTCATCGTAGTTTTTAAAGCTGTAGTTATCATCAATTATCAAAGTTTTATTAATCCAACTCATACCTTTCCAATTGATGAATTGGAAAGAGGTTGGATGAGCCTTACATGCCATTTTTAACATCAGATGAAAGGGAACTAAATGGATTACCTACTCTTCTACCTTCATTTGATTGGGTAGAGGCAGTAGTGGTATTAAAACCAGTAGTCAATTTAGTATTCCAATTCATTTTGGTAGATGAACTACCGAGGAATTTCTTTTTGCTATTGAATGAGGAGGATGATGACGATGAGTTGATATTAAACTTTGATGATGGAACTGATGATGACATATTTGATGATGAAGCATTTGATGATGATGGGACTGATGACGATAGTTTGTTATTTGATACGATTGGTTTGTTGATTCTTTCGAAATTTTTAAAATCTTCGAGTGAATTAAATTTATTGAGGATTTCTTTTAATTCTTGATTTACTTCGAATGGAGTTTTATCTTTACGATACTTGAGAAAAGCCCAGAACTTCTCTAAACCATAAACTTGTTTGAACTCTTTAAAATCTTGGAGTGTTAGATCTTGGAAATCATTCAAGATATCTGGTCTAATCTTTTTTTCTAAACCATAACTGTAGAAACGGAAGAGGCACTCTAAACCATATCTATAATTTTCTCTAGCATCTTCGATTGAAACTTGCTTAAACTCTTGATAGATTTTATTATTAAAACGAGTACGAAGGAAATGGGTCCAAAATCTAAACAAAGTGTTCATTTCGGTGGAGTGGCCAATACCTAAACGTGATCTTTCTTTCAAACACTTATTCTTGTACTTGTTGTATTTGCTTAGAATAAAACCGTTCTCTTCCAACAATTCGTATGATGGATGTTGGAAATATGGGAATGGACTTTGCTTAGTACTATCCTCTTCTGTAGTACTTGATGGACTATTTGATTTGACAGATGATGAACCATTAATCTTTTGACCAATTGGTTTTGATTGAGAGGAAGAAGCTGTATTGCCAGTAGCAATGGCTGATGAAATTACTGATGCAGCTGTAGTAGCTGGTTTAATTTGTGATGATGGACTATTTTCTGGGGTTAATTGCTCTGAAATTGGAGCCATAACCCAACCAACTGGTGTACTTGAATCGCTTGATGTATTCTTTGGTTTTGGTGAATAAAGTCTTGTTGGTGATTTAAGATCATTGATTTCTTTTTGAATTGGTTGGTTTGATGATGATGATGTTGATTTTGATTTTGGTTCAACAGTTGATGATTTATTCTTTGTGGTGGTTGTTGAATCATCTACAATAATTGTATTGAACTTTTCAAATTTATTTTGTTTATTTCTTTTTAAATCTTGTTCATAGAAATAAAGACCATCATTAATCATTGAAGCAATCTCACCAGTTATATATTTTTTGCCATTGATTTTATTCTTTTTATATGGTGATTGTGTAACAATAATGAGTTGATTTGAAATATCCTTTTCGTCATCCTCACTGATATCTTCATCATCATATTCGTTATAGAAATTATCTTCTGACTTTTCTGAATAACTGCCATAGCATGGTTGTTGAGTTTCAAACTCTTCCTCTTGATAAACAACAATTTCCTCTTCTTTCATTTCTTGGTCTTGAATTTGGTCTGGTCTTTCTCTAAAATCAAAATTTCTTCTTTCTTTAGCAAAGAAATTTTGATGATCATCTTCATCACTGAGATCAAAGAAACCCTCTTCAGATTTATATTGACTAACAGATAATTCTTGTTGCTCTTGTTTTTGTTCAAACCCTTCAATCTCAGCATCATTTGATGAATCCTTTGATAATGAAATGCTTTCTGATCTGTAGAGTCTCTTTGATTTAACAGTAATCCATCCTTCAGCCGACTCAACCTCTTCATCTGATTGTTGTTGCTCTTCTTGCTTAGCCTTTAAACCTGATAAGAAACCATTCTTAACTTCTTGAGGTAATATCCAAAGACTTCTCATATCCTCTGCAACCAATCTAACTTTATTTTGATCGCTATTAAGTTGCAAATATTCTGATGATGTCAATGAGTCAATTATTGTTGAAATATCGTATGATCTCATTCTATTGAAACTTGAAATAAAATTAATTGATACCCAACCTTCACTATCCATGTTGCATCTTAAATAAACATCTCTACATAAATTTTCAATGCTAAAATAATAATGTCTTTTTTTTTTTTGTAAAAAAAAAATTAATAATTAAATTGAAAAAAATTTTAAAAAAAATAAATAAAAAAAAGTAATTTTATATTTACACTTGATCTTGAATTGATTTTTTAATTGATTCGAAATCTACACAATTTGATTTAGAGTTGAAATATTTACCAAAGTATTTAGTCTTATTTGGTGTGGATAATGTTGAGGTTGAAACCATTTTTGCAATGATAGACTCTTCTGTGATAGCCTTTTTGTGATAGCCTTGTCGTGAATTTTGATCTTTGAGTGTTAGCCTTTGTTTCTTAAAGTTTTTTTTTTTTTTTATTAATTTATTGGTTTTTTTAAAATCTAATTAATTATCGACAAATAATTAAAATAGAAGTTTTAACAAGAGTTAATTTATTTTTTAAAATGTTAAAAAAAAAATTAAAAATCTCTTGTTTAAAATGGTGTAAATAAATATTACACCCAATTAAAACAAATAAAGAAATAAAATAGTACAAAAAAAAAAAGAAAAAAAAAAAAGTTTTAATAAAAATTTGGAAAAAAAAATTAAAAAAAAAAATTAAAAAAAAATAAAATTAAATTTTATTATAATATTACGAAAAAAACGAATTAATTAATCCGTTTTATATATTAATAATATTGTTGAACTTGTCACTGAACAAAAAATAATACAAAATACAAAAAGGAATTAAAAAAATTTGAATTTTTTGTGATTGGAATTCTTCATTGTGGTAAAATGTTAAAAAAATAATTTTTGAGAATAAAAAATTTTAATATAATATTAAAAATATCGCTGATCATTAATCATTGATCAGCGAGAATAAAAATATTTTTTTATTAATTTTTTTATTATATTTTGATAAATTTTATTAATTTAATAATGATTTGACAACTGATTTAATATTCATTCTCTTTAAATCTGTATAATTTTGGCCTGTACCCAAAAATAAGATTGGATGACCGGTTGAATAAACCATTGAAATTGCTGCACCAACTTTATCGTCAATAGTATCGAATTTGGTTAAAATGATACCATCAATAGTACGAATTTTTGAGGATGTGGTAGATGAGAGTAAAGAGAGGGATTTGTCGAATTTGGTTAATTGATCAACACCATCATTACCTACAAGAGCCTCACCAACGAATAAAACTAAATCTGCATTATTTTGATTGACCAATTTGGAGAGAGCCTTCATTAAAGGTTCATTATTTTGCATACGACCAGTAGTATCAATTAAAACGACATCGATACCCATATCCTTGGCTTCAGCAATAGCATCAGCAGCGACATTTGCGGCATCTTTACTATAACCACGTTCGTAGAGAGGAACACCAAGACGATCGGCATGAGTTTTTAATTGTTCAATAGCACCAGATCTGAAAGTATCACAAGCAGCCAACATACATCTATAACCATTAGCAGTTAACCAATAACAAATCTTTGCCAAATTTGTACTTTTACCAACACCATTTACACCGCTAAATACTATGGTATATGGCCTTTTACCTTTAACAGCTTGGACTTCTCTGAGGATATCAATGTTTCTTTTTGGTGTAAGGATTCTTGTTATAGTTTCTTCCATTTGTTGTTTTACTACACCACTAACACCTTGGAAAGTACTGAGCTTCTTTCCTTCTAAACCTGTACCAATGGATTCAACCAATTTATCTGCGATATCGGCTGCTACATTTTTCTTTGTTAAATGGGTTTTGAAGTTATCGAGAATTGGTACAAGATCAGCCTTATCAATTACTCTGTTACCTGTTAATACATTAAAGTACTTCATAAAACCACTGGCTGGTTTATCCTCTTCGTCTGATGATACCTCCATATCGATATTGAATTTTTGAATCTTTTCCTTAACTATCTGTTTAGTTGGTGTTGATTCAGACTTGTTTAATGACTCCAACTCCTCTTTTGAAAGCTTACCATCGTCCCACTTTCTAGCTTGTTTCTTATTTCCTTGCTTGTCTGGTGTGTTCTTGTTCTTTGGTTTATAAGCACCTGGTGATTTTTTAACTGCTGCATTAATTGCTAATTTCTTCATTTCTTCGTCCATTTCTTCTGAACTATTTCTATCACTGCTTTCATCATCGCTGCTTTCACTATCGTCGCTGCTATCCTCTTCATCAGCACCCTCTTTATTTAATCTGTTTAACTTTTTCTTTTCTGATTTTTCTTGTTTTTTCTTTTCTTTTTGCTTTAACCTGTCTACCCTGCCTTCTTTAATTGCTTTTTCTTTTTTAATATCACCTGTTAATTTGCCTTTATCTGTATCTTCATATTTCTTTGGTGCTGACACTGATTTTTGTTGTAACTTTGATTTATTCTCGACCTCTTCTAAAATAACTTCAAAGTCAAAGTCTTGAAATTTATCGACCATAATAAAATCTGCAGAGTTTTTAATTGAAATCAACGTATCTTTATATAATTTAATAAATCTTTTTTTGACAATTGATAATAACTCATCAATATACATTAATGTAAAAATTTTTTGATAAACAACCTATAATTTTTAAAATGTAAAAATAGAATTTATGATTAATTATATTGTTATATTAAACTACTATTATTTTAATTAATTTTAACTATTTAAATTTAATACATACAATAAAAATTAAATCGAATTCATTTGCAAATGTCCATTTTAATGAATAACTATCAATTTGAAAGGATGTATCTGCGCTTCTTTCCTCGAGTAAAACTTTTTTAATTAATGTGTTAATTGGTGAACCTTTAATCTTGGCAAATTCCTTTGACCATAAAACAATTCCACCCTTTGTTAAAATTGTAAAACTATCTAACATGTTTATTTATTTTTAAAAATATATTATTATTAAAAAAAAATAAAAAGTTTTTTTTTTTTATAAATTTTTTTAAAAAAAATTTTAAAAATTAAAAAAAAAAAAAAAAAATTTTTGACTAATATGACTCATTATTTTTATTATTAAGTTGAGTAAAATTTTGGGAAAATTAATTAAAGATTAAGTTTGTTCCAAAAGATTAAATATAACAATTAATTAAGAATTATTATTATTATCTGTACTATTATTATTTATATTATTGTTAATTGATGAATTTTGATGAATTTTAATGTTTTCTTTATCGGATCATTATAACCACGAGAAAACAATTTAAATCTGAACAAAAGACTTTAGCTTTGACAATTATTACAATATTTTTGGCAGCAATAATATCATGATGACCACAACCATGTAAAAGCCAATGGCTTCAGAGTTACTTTAAGTTATGGTAAAATTTTGGACTGTGGATCGGGGAAATTTTTCAAAGTTGTGGTTAATGTGATTGAAAATGATGGACATATTTGAGAGATAAGATGTTCATTAATCGTCAAAACAAAAAAACCAATTTAAACTAAATTGGCGATTCTTTTGGTGGAACAGGAAGTAGGAGTACCAGGTGAATTATGAGAGAACCTCCTGCACCAACACCCATTTTATAATAATATTAAAAAAATTATATTACTTTTTATAATTAAGATAAAATGGAAGTTATTCCCAAAAAAAAAAAAAAAAAATATATAAATATAATTATAAAAATAATTTAGATCTAATCTTTTTTTATTTTCAAAAAAAAATAAAAAAATTAAATAAATAATAATAATAAATAAATAAAAAAAAATAAATTAATTAATAAATAAATAAAAAAATAAATAAAAAAAAATAAATAAAAAAGAAAGAAAATAGATTATAAGATGGCGGAATAAAGACTGATTTGAAAACCTTTGGACTATTATAATCAAAAAAGATTGAATAGATAAAAAGACATTAGTCTTTACTATTTTCAAAATTTTTTTTTTTGTTTTTTGAAAGCAACCAATTTTTTGTAATTTAGTTGAAAATAATTTAATATGTATATGTCTTTTGGATTACCATTTGAAACCATTGAAAGGTTTATTTAATATCTTCTATGCATAATTATTATTTTTTTTTTATTTAATTTTTTTTTTAATTTTTATTCTACGTAGCAATCATAATTCATCAAAAGAATCTTGATTCTTAATATAAAAAAAACTATTTTTTTTAAAAAAAAAAAAAATTTAATTTTAAAATTAAAAATTTATTTTATTTTAATTTTTTTTTTTTTTTTTAATTTTTTTTTTTTTGTTTCAAATTTTTTTTTTTTTTTTTTTTTTTTTTTTTTTAATTTTACGAGCAATAACCAGTGCAATCATTGACGAAAAATTGTCTCAAAACTTTTATTTTTATATTTATTAATAATCAAAATATTATATAATATAAAATAATATTTTTTTTTTCCTTAAATTTTAAATTTTAAATTTAAATTTATTTGATTACAATAACCCTAAATAATAATAATAAAAGTGTAGAAAAAAAAAGATTAATTAATTTTAATTAATTAATTAAAGTTAATTAATAACACACACACACAAACAGCTATATTTTTTTATTTTTATTTTTGGTATTAAATAATTTTAATAAAATACTGATAAATAGAAAATAGATGTAATTAATAAACCATCCAATTATATTATTATAATAAATAATAAAATAAATTTTTTGATATCATTAAATAAATGTAATAGTAAATATCTCAATAAATAAAAATATAAATAAAACACAAAATACAAATAAAATATAAATATATAAAAACAACAATAAACATCACAAACAACAATAGACAATTCGATATACATATATTTGCAATATTATTATTTTTTTATTTTCTTTCATATAACATTTTTAAATATTAAAAAAATTAGAAAATAGAGAAATAATTTAA